AACGAAGTCAATGCAATACTTACAATTAATAGGAGGAACCAGAAATATTGATGAATTAAGCTTAATATAGTGACTAAACTGCACATGATTATTGCATCTTTAGCTTGTCTGAAAAGAAGAGAACACCGTTAACAACAACAAGTAAATAATAAAAAAGTATACAATATTGAAAAAAGCAGCTATATAAAGTAAAACGAAAAGAATGAGAGAAATGTAGGTCAATGTGAACGAAAACAATTCGAACAATCAATGCATCATGAGATAAATGAAAATAACTATAAGTTATGAGAATGTGAGTTGTGTTCTGCTTTAAAGAATAATTTAACTCTTCTCCAGCTACTCTTCAGTTGTTACCCACTATTCTGAAACAATCAAATTGACAAACTGAAATACGTTATCCATACCTCGATTCTTAATAAAGTTCCAGAACGTATATTTAAATTAAAGCAACGGTAAGTAGTAGGCCTTCAAAAATCCTTAAGGATGATGATCTAGTTTTCGCAGTTAGACGGACTGAGATATTAATCAAAGTCTGCAAACACGGTGTAATCTTATATAAAACTGGTCGCAATCGCTAGACATCAAGATTTTTAGAATAGGACAAAAATCCTCTCATGATAACTATAGAAGAATCGGTTTGAAGAATATATTATCCAACATGGTGGCTACAAAAATCATATGAATTCTAAGACTCGTGAACAGCGAAACTGAGGAAACTAAGCTGGTTTTAGGCCTGGACATGTGCTGAGGTGGCTAAGTCCACAAATACAATATGCTAAGGAGTCATTCAGTCAGTTATATGAAACATGGGACCTGGCTCATATGTGCATTGGTTTAAGTTGCCACATTAGCTTAATGAGATAAAATGATCAAGAAGTAACAGTATTATTAGTAATAGGACAGATTAGTTGGAGAAATAAAATAAAAATTATACGGAGATTTCAGGACTCAAGATACAAGGAAAAACAAACAGTGAATGCAACCGCAAACATTTTTGAGCACACACACACACACAAAATACATTACAAAGAGATTAATCTTAAAATTCACAAACTGATTGAAGAAATGGTAAATTATGAAAGCTGCTTTTAGGTTATCAGTTAGCCTAATTTGTAGTCAGTAAATTATTTACAGCTATTTTATGTAACTACCTTACTTGCTTGATCATAAGCAATCGTGTAATTTATCAACTATTGTCATTTCTTCTTCCTGATTTATTGTATTTTAAATAGCAGCCTTACTTCCTGTTTTGCATATATTGTATTTTCTAATTTGTTGTGCTTTGTGGTCTAATTATCCCCATATTTAAACGTGTGCTCTTTTAAGTTAGACATAATCGAATATAGAGATTTCCCGCCACAGCTGTCTTCCCTATTCTCTTCCCAGACAATCAGTATTCATGAAGTCAGGGAATAGGATAGTTCCTTGCCCGCAAGGTTAATTAATTACAAGTTGAACTCACGAATTTGCAGTCTGAAGGTTATACTGAGTAACCTAACGCACCGAGGTTGTTAACTAGTTTAGAGACAACCCTCTCTTGATATCTAACTACAAAAACAAGGGGTTCACTAGAGTTACAATACCTAATAAGTTAAGAATCAAGTTGTTAACTAACAGCGTTTATGGATTCTTTAACTTTTTTCGCTCATTTGCATGCTTTTCCATCAAATGGCCTTAGATTAGATTAATAATAAATGATATATAATTTAGTTTCTAACCAATGAATAAATTGATATGATACAGAAACAAAAGTTAAATCTTATTGTTCATAGACTCATCTCACAACTGTGAACATGGATTTACGCTGAGTATATTTAAAATTTAAACCAAATGACTTTGGATGATCGATGCAGTCCTCTTTCATTCTCTTTCCAAGTAAACACAAAACATAAAACTAACAAATGCGATCTGGTTTCATTAAATGAATAACAAAACTACATTTTTGTACTTTTAAGACAAATTCTTTTAAATTATGTTTTTCTCCAACCCAAATCTACACCGACTGTAACTGGATTAAAAGTATAAGAATTTGGTCGGTGATCTGGATAGTAAGATTACAGAGATGATAAATGATTTAATTTGGAATAAGTGCTAGGCTTCAACCAGAATTCTAAAATAGAGGTGCTGAAATTGAACTAGACTCTATGGACGAACCAGTCAGCTTTACGATAGCAGATTTTGGATTTTACGTGAATTCTGTTGGTCTTTACAGTTACAGCGCATTCCTCCAGTATAGTTGGCATCAGTTTGTGATGAAAACACTCACTCCTATTAAAACAAATAATAAACCCGATTTTGGACCATTAAAGCGATCAAAATTTCGCAAGGTCCCTTTTGTATAATCAATCAAAATAATTCATAAATGTTAGTTACATCGGTGTTCACATCATTGTAGTATTCAGGACTTAGGAGTTTATACAAAACGAAGTGACATGGATGAAACAGCAGAGATAACTCTTAACGACACTTTTATACGTTGATACCACAGCTTCTTATTCTACTATCTATGACTATTCCAAAACAAAATTCTTGTAGAGAAGATTTATAGGCTAGAATCCAAAAAAATTAGTTCACATTTCAGTTCATCCAATTAAGTTCAGATTAAATTCGGTCTTTGAAAGGAATAAATTGAGCCGAGTCATCACCGAGTATTTCTGATTGATTTACAGAAGTAAAGCGAAACAATAACCATGGGTGGTTTAATGAAAATTACTCATTTCGAGAAAATGATTGGAGTCGAGATTTCGAATTACCATATGTTAACTCAATAAGTTAAACCTAAGATGAGACACATAAGACTTAAAATTCTGGGTTTGTCTCCTGAAGCTGATTGTGTGTGTGAGATGCGCATTGCTGAGTAGAAACAAAACAGTTGTTTAATGATCCTTGGCATTCGATGACTCACTTTAGCTTAAATCAGCCTGTCAGTCGATTAGTTAGTGGGTCATACCCAATGCAGAAACTGGGATGTATGCACATAAGTTTAAGTTGCCACAGAACAGCACAGATACAAACGTCAGAGTAGTAAAAGTAGTAAAGTATCAGTAGTAATAGAAAACATTTTTTCAATTACAGTCTAGTTAAGGTCAGTTCATGATCTAAATTTTAAAAATTCTACAACCTTTAGAAATCCCTCCATACTTGCAATATCTTTACCCAAAATAACCCAATAATTTAATAAGGGAACAAAGCAAAAAGCGTAAATCACTTACTCTCCGAGTCCGCCGGAGTCTATATTTAAATCTAGGCCAGCATCCACCAATTGACGAGTTCCCCTTTCGTTGACAGCGTAAGATGGTGAAGCCATGTAGGACATAAATTTATAGGCAGCTAAACAAGCACCGAAGCAGCCTAGTTATAACGTTATGTAACGTTTTGTATAGGTTGACCAGAAAAATGTTAAAGTGATAACGAAATAAACTGTCTGGGAAAAAAACAACATTGACAATAACGAAGGTTGTAACAAAGTGTCCAAACACTAAGTCTAAGATAAGAATATAACCGATAATGAACATGATAAAATTAACCGGTCAGAAACGAAGTAAGAGCTGAGAATGATATGTATCGTTCCAGGTTGCACATCTGACATTAAAGACTGAAAGAGGAAATTAGCAAGTTGAAAACCAATAAAGAACGAGTCAGTGCCTAATACAACAGAAGGTTAAACATATGTGCAACAAAAAGAACGATGATGAGTGTTAAATAGTACCATGTTCAAGGAAGAGAGAAATGTATGACGGATACAACTGCACTATTGTGACTGACTCTGAGAAATGGTATTTATCGCCTCTACCCATAAACTATGATTATCCACTGGAACACAATCGAGAAATAAGTTGCTAATGACACAAGTCAGTTTAGCAATCAATGGCACCAGCAACTGATGCCATGCTCGTATTTAAGCACCCCTATCCTTTTATGAAACTACCCCAATACAAGCCAATATAATTAGGATATACTATGGATATACATTTGTGACATGTGTCCAAAGAACGCCAATCGACAGCCTATAATCTCATCAGTCGAATAACTGTTTTGGAAACCAACCTTCGTACTAACGTGTGAGTCAGTCACTTGATGGTTATATTATTACTGAGTAATGCTTCCGAGAAGACTATGATTGGAGACATGCATTGTAGACAAGATTAAATATCAAGTATTATACTAACGAAAAATTCCATTTAAGCGTTTAGTAAAGACAAACTTCGAATATATAGTATATATATATATATATATATATATAGAGAGAGAGAGAGAGAGAGAGAAAAGAGAGAAGGTCATTACGAAAAATTAACTGAAAAGAAATTTCTTCGCCTAACTAGTGTTTACAAAGTATAATAACTTAGCATACCTAATATTTAACTTAGACTCGGTTTTTTGGTAATTTAACTAAAGATGTTTTGGAATTCCTTATTGTATAAGAAGAAATAGCTGGTAAGAATGGACGAAATATTCAACTGGTAGTCTACAATCGTCTGAATATGTCTTTAAAGTAACGTTTCAGCATATAGTTGAAAAGATAGGTGGGGAATAACAAACCTAAAGGTTTATTTTGAACTTTTCTCTCAAGAAATTAAGGGGTCTTTACCATTATGCTTAATTACAAGTGAAAATGAGGTTTTCTAGTTAAAAGAAAAGATAACCAGGGTAATTCAGAACGTGAAATAAATATGCATCGATCTACGCTATCAGATTGTTCGCACCAACACGGGAAGGATCGAAAATAGTAAAAATTAGGTAAAGAAACCTGTAAAATCGAAGAATGAGTGGTGTGAAATAGTTTAAAACTTTTGTCATGATGCAAACTAGATACAGCTCACCAGTATCACTAGTTTTAAATCACAGAGCCCAAACTTTACAACAGTTAGTCCCAGTCGGTTGCGAATATTCACCAATAAGTTTGCGATTTTTCTTTATTGTTAAGTTTAAAATATCGACGATTTCAAAGATTATTATGAAATGCATGAGTTTAGTCATCATAATGTTTCGTTCCGTCATCGATAAACTGAGCCATAACAATACATTGAAGTGTGTGGTAGAAACACAAGTGCAAAGTAGATCACAAAGGCTACAGCTGCTGAGAGTTTAGAACTTCATTTAATCTCCCTTATCTATCAAGTACTCTGAGTCTAACATTAGCAAAGCTCATTTCATGGTTTCAACACAAATAACTAGTATTTTGGGAAAATTCCGTGATTGGGTAGTTATATTGACCGTTGAACCAAACTACACCGTCGTGCTAGTGAAATGTCACCGGGCCATAGCTAAATCATCTGACAGTTGGTTCAATGAATGTCGAATAGTTCACCGATCCTCATCACGTTCAAGGACCACCAATGCTCATCAATTAGTGGCACGCCAAGTACTGGCCCATGCGGTGGTGGTCGCACTCTCGTTCTTGTACCTACTCTTACTAATATATTTCTGTAATAACGTCCTTTGTGTTGTGCGGTCTTCAAAGTGACCACAGTACCTTGATAAGACGAAAGGGTAATCCAAGTTAGGTGCTAACGACATGGTATGACTTCGAAGTTAGCAGGTTCGTCATATCATCCCTAATCATTTGACACAGATAATCCACGTTAGTGAACTATAACACTACCAAGTCAACTGGGGATCCAGAATAACATTACAGTATTGTGGAGAATTCCTGCAGTTACAGTTCGCAGTGCTTCGGAAAGTTCTTTTAACGTCGTACGCAAATGACCGGTTACTCTTTTCTCTCTAATACATATCTAGTCTGAAATGAAGTTTTATAGAATTTCACCACTCAGCTTCTCGAGTAAATTTAAGTGAGTCTTATCTAAACTACTATATATAGAGCGAATGAAAGAGATATAGAAAGTAATATTGTTAAAAATTATTGACCTTGTCGATAATAAAGAATTGTGAATCTAAAAGTAGTATGATTAAATTTTTTTAATAATACCTTGAGTGGATGGATTGCGAAGATAATAATTTAGTGAAATCTATACGTATATATGTCCAGCGAATAGTACTATTTGCTGCCAACTGGCTTCTTACAACTGTTAACACAAACCAACATGCACGTAACCCGTCAAAATGAATAGACTTACACTGTCCATTGCAATCAGTTTAAGTTACCTCGAACACTTAATTCTATTTTCTGATGACATCGACACTTAAACTCAGTATAAACTAGTTAAAGTGAGTTTTACCGACGAATCTGAAACTACATAATGACTCGATATATGTGTATTTGAAACATTGGTAAGAATTAAAGTTTGGAACAAACATAAAAGTGGTTATGAACGTCCCGATTTAAAATAACTATGAACAAAGGACTTACACAACACGAAAGAAACAGATAGCGATAGAACTTAAGTGTCCGTACATTTTCTTCATGAATGAGCTTTTCACTCTTAGTTCCTTCTTTATGGGGCTTTTTCTGGCTGAGCATCACCAAAAACAAAACGTGGCCTTGAGGTAACAAAATATTCGGCTACGGCGGTCTTCAATACTCAATACGACTACTCCATATACTTCTAATTTCAAATAACTGGCGCCAATCAACTGGTTTCTCTGCCCTCGCTTCCTGTTGTCCGAGTACGAATCCGGATATCTGACAAAATTCAATGAGTGGTAGTTTAGTCAATCTGTTCCACTATTTCTAATCAGTTTCGTAGTTATTTGTGGATTTATAAATCTTGTAATTCAAACAAATGGGTCTATGGTTTCTGAATACCAGTATTCATTACAGCGACCGGCAAGAGGTTGTTAGGTTGCACTTTAAGAACCCAAAAAAGATACTACGAATACTAAAAGAGATCGATTGTTGTAAGAATAAATAAATAGTCTGGTTAGTGGAGGATGTGTGAGGAGAGGTAATTGAAAGAGTAAGTGGGAAGAGGTGCCGATAACAAAATTTGACGCATGCAATTTTGAAAAAAATAGTGGTATTTTTTCTCCTTCGGTTAAATTTACAGTTTTGATTGTTTGTTTCTCATCACCACTGATTTTTTCTCTTTAATTGGATTTAGTTCAGTCGGAGTAAAATCTAGAGTATCATCTTTTTCAAAAGTAGATTATCACCAGTACTTTTTTGAGCTCATTGGTTCTTCTTGTTTGCTGCGTTTTTGACCTGAATGCTTACTTTTTTCACTTCTTTTCTGATTAACCGGCTTCAAAGAGGTCTGTTCGATACAAAAGCTCAAAAAATTGGTTTCTTCTGTAGTGACCTACCTTTGGCAACAGAACGCGATTGGTTCAATGAAAACAACTATTATTACTACCAATTGTACTAGTGATTGTTTTACTGTGCTCGTTTGTTTAACTAAGCTAATGACAGTTATTGGACTCTCTCTCCCGTTGACTTTGAACTTGTACGAATTCGATTACGCTTAGCACTTACGCTTGTACTCCTTTGGCACGATCTCGGTATTCTTTCGATACCACGAGATAGCTAACAAATACATCTCGACTACAGCCATCATCTGCCTTCTGATATTGGCCTACGGAGATCTTATTGGTTAACTGGAACGTAGTCTTCTTGTAGTGGTGTTCATAGTCAAGCGCGACTCGATACCGCGCTACACTTCTGTCCAAATCCATCCGAATGGTAGGAGGCGGGAAACGACTATAAAGCCTAGTTTTTGGGCTAGGTCTGTTTCTGAAAAAAAAACCTGACCATCTGAGTCATCGACAATCGTTCAGGATCTTACAATGTGTGTAACGCAATTTTGACTGCCACTCCATGGAGAGAGCTGATGAGTAGGTACAAGTTAAGGATAAGAAACGGATCTATATCGTTAAGAAAACGTCAGCATCCCAAACAGCGAATGAGAAATTGATGGTATATCATAATGACAGTCAGTCGTCTCTCATTTATTCAAGCAGAGTGAAATCTCAACCAAGGATTCGTTTTGAGCGAAACATCGGGTTGGTAAAATTTTTACTTAACCAGCAAGTGTCCCAAGGTATATCTTGGTTTACCCTACTGAAGGTTCATAGACTTTGAAGCCAAACGGACTTGAAACACAATCAAAGTAGGCTTGTAGTAAGCCGATTCGACTATTGTACTTTTTGTCTACTCACTGTAACTTAGACGCCTACTCCATTATGTTAATTTCTGTATAAGTATGATTGAGCGCGTGTTTGAACTTCAGTCTTTAATCTATTCTCCCTTTGGTTGTAATACACAGATAATCAATAATTTATCCATACTTGATCAACACTCATAATGCTATCGAGTGGACATAAACTAAAATAGTCAGGAGCTTCGTCCGTGAAGAGTTGCCACTCGTTAAGCCTATGAAAAGGCGAAAAGCTGAAAACGAACAGAAACTAAGGTTACAT